CACTCAAGAACCAGGCGATGTCCCTCAACGCGTGATCAAAGAGACAAAACGCTCTGGCAAAAGGATTTATCTCGTAGAGTTTGCTGCCTTGCCTCGTTACGGTTATAACATCGAGTACAGCAAGGACTGGGTCCCAGAACAGACACTGATGAAAAAATCGGCTACCTCGTTCTGAAATAATACAGCATAGTCCTTCTGCCTATAGGACGACTATTCCTAATGTAACAGCGATACCTACATGACAAGACGTACCCTATCTTGCAAGCTTTTTCGAACAGTCTTGACCTGTAAGTGATCAATAAAGTGTGACGAACCCTACTGCCTTTTGCGTCGTTGTGTCGATGTATGCACGCATGAGACACACACATACGTGACATAGATATGAACTACTAGTTCACTTACTCCGGAGTAATCATTTACACCGACGGTTATGTATATGCATATGCATATACGATATATCTACACATCATGCACGTGAGGATACACGATACGGACAACCATGACAAATATACTTACTTGCTACAAATAAACTTACTCCGGAGTAAAATTTGTACTCCAAAACGGAGGAATAGTTACTCCGGAGTAATATCTTACTCCAAAAATACTTACTCCGGAGTAATATTGTACTCCGGAGCAACACGTTTATATCGATATATGTATATGTATATGTATATAGATGCACACACACACACACACGCGGGCGCGCGCGCACACACTCCGACGATTATGTATATGCATATACGATATATCTACACATCATGCATGTGAGGATACACGGTACGGACAACCATGGCAAATATACTTACTTGCTACAAAAGAACTTACTCCGGAGTAAAATTTGTACTCCAAAACGGAGGAATAGTTACTCCGGAGTAATATCTTACTCCAAAAATACTTACTCCAGAGTAATATTGTACTCCGGAGCAACACGTTTATATCGATATATGTATATGTATATGTATATATAGATGCACACACACACACGCGAGCGCGCGCGCACACACTCCGACGGTTATGTATATGCATATACGATATATCTACACATCATGCATGTGAGGATACACGATACGGACAACCATGGCAAATATACTTACTTGCTACAAAAGAACTTACTCCGGAGTAAAAATTTTACTCCAAAACGGAGTAATAGTTACTCCGGAGTAATACCTTACTCCAAAAATACTTACTCCGGAGTAATATTTTACTCTGGAGCAACACGATTATATCGATATATGTATATCGATAAATGTACTATATGTACATACACACGCATACCCATACATATTCGATCTTCGCTCGCTGTCGACAGACTTGGACTTGAACGCAGGTTTGTCTCCGCAAGTACGCCGGTTTCTGTTGCCACTTTATACAATTCTCTGACCAACACCCACAGAGCTTCCACCAATCGCCATGAAGTACGTCACCTACTTCACATGCAGACCAATCGACTACTCCGGATCCGCAGAATAAGTCACCATCTCTTGCCATGCGGCCAATCATCTACTACAGACGTTAACTTTAACCACGCCCCCACTTCATGATGCAATCCCGACGGTCCCGCTGTCATGTTGAATAGATTACTGTCAAAGTAACAATATCGGTAGGCGTGGTATCATCCTTCAAAAATCGTTGCCTTGACAACAGATTTCCCAGGTTACCGGGTTCAAAAGTGCACGCTGACCTTTATCTGACCTCCTCCATTGACGTCATGACACCCTCATAATAAATCATATTAAAATATACATAAATTAATTCATAATTGTACATAAATATTTCAGTTATTAATAAATCAACGTAGTCTTTAAAATTAAAAAAATGCATAAATTTGCATAAATTACCAAATTTTGCATAAATTTACATAAATTACCATTTTTCCGCACACCTGTGTAAATTTGGATATATGAATAAATTTGCATAAATTTGCATAAATTTGCATAAATGCATAAATTGGTCCAGACAACCCTGTATTCTACTTAACAGGTACGTGACTGCAGTCAGTAAAAGGTTGGATTTTCGGTAGGGACCAATTAATAGTAATTAATTGGTGCACGTAATACGTAGTAGGTACCTACATATACTAGTACGAAAGCCCATAGGTACATTTAAGCCAATTCTTCGGGGTTGTCATATATTCCCACGGAATGTCCCTTCAGTTATGCCGTTTTCATACTATAAAAGTGCAAAACTTCAACGTAGACAACAGAACATACCGGAAAGAAGGAAATTTATAAAGCGATACACGTGGATCACGGGTAGAAACGTAAAAATTTACTATAATTGTCTTTCGCGTCTGCCATTGAAATGGCGGAGGAATTGTTTGGCAGACGGCCTTGCTGACGCCCCGGGCTTCTGTAGCCGGTATCCAAAACACTTGCTTTGTTACCCTTTACGTGATCACAGTTCAGCGTGCAGGTAGACATCAGAAATACTTGCACAAAAGGCTCCAAATCTACCTGCACTTGGGGGTACGTGGGGAACACAATCGCATTGTTCTACCAGGAAAAAAATGATGCAACCAAAATGTTACACATTTTAGAGATTTCATGACAGTTCTAACACCTGCGGTTCTATTGGTGGTACGCAAAATGTAGTAAAAAGGTGGAAAATGAAAAATATTATGTTAGTACGGCTGGGGTTCGAACCCAGGCGGACATACGTCCATTGGAACTTAAGTCCAACGCCTTAACCACTCGGCCACCGTACTGTGTAATCATGGGAAGGGTGGCAAAACATAGTTATTACCTGGATATGCCATATTTGGTAATTTGACCTTTGATCTTCGAAAACCGAGCCTTAAATTTCGTTTTTATGACCCAATAATGCAACTGAAGGAATTTATTTACTTATACTGGAATGAAAACCCGGATAAAAGCGCTAAATACCGTCATTTATTCGGAAAATCCGGCCAAAACAAAGGTTGTTTACGCGGTTGCCCGGGGCACCACCCTGGTCACGTTACCCCGCGATATGCAAATGAGCCGTCATAACAATGAGAAACATGGCGGCGTTTCGAGGCAGTGCCACGGAATTCCTCTGGATTTCGTAATTTTTTTCCCGTTTCTGAGGAATCCAAGCCCGTGTGACACTACCAGACTATCGCCGAAGCTGTTCTTAAATACTTAGATTGAGAAAAATCTGGTAAAAGCGCTCATCGAGTGTTGAACTTGACAAAAAAACTCGCCGAAACCCAGCCGATGTTAAGCATGATGGGCGGCTGTCTATCTGGGTTGTTGAGCAAGGAAGAGAGAAGGTAAGAAAACACCGGCGATTTCTCGCAAATATCAACAATTTTGTATAATATGACCTCACAGTTATGCGCAGAACATGTTTAGTGTTCGGAATTTGCCAGTATGGCTCTAATTTCACAGTTAGTTTTAGGTAAATCTACCATGATTATGAGAACTTGACGTATCTAACATCCAAGATAATGATCGATTCTGTTGAAATTACACGATGTAACGCTTATTTGGTACTCAAATAACGGTATAGTTTTGAAAAAAATAATTGTATAGTTTTCACAAAAACGATCGTAAATTGGTGTGATACATAAGTTCATGGTTTATCATTCCCCCAAAATTCGCACATCTTGAAATTATGATATTTTTCAGACAGGCAGGGACCTCCCTAAACAATGGAGCAGTGGAGCTCCTCCACCCAGTCCTTATCTCAGCTCCACCCTGTTAATTTTCAAAACTAGTGTTTTTACACCCTTTTCCAGGGTTCTTTGGTCAAATTTACCGATATTTCGCACCCTCCTCCATTCTGTCCTAAATTTCTGGGGAGATCCCTGGACAGGTGTTTTTTGGTTTATGATACAGTCATAAATAACGTTACATTGTTTAACATAAATACAAATACGTAGACACTTTTGATGCAATTTCCGGTTTTTTAATACATATAGTTGGAACTATCTTTGGTCAAAGATTTTATTCAATTTCTACTTCTAGTCCAAATTTCAAAATTGTTGTAGAACATGCAAATAAGTGATGTCACAAAAAAAAAAAAACACATATTCGGACAATAAAGTTGCTTGTTGACAACCTTAAGTTGTCGGTAAGGCCACACCGACTTAATTTTATGGATGACATCCTCTGAAGACCCACAAACTAGTGCGCGCGGGCGAATAAAATAAAAATCCGGCCAAAAATAAAAATGCTACTAAACCACAGGAATACAAAGGCAAAGCTGGTATTGTGCATTTGCGGCTGAAATGCGGCAGAACATAGCGACATATACGACAAGCCGGCACATGCTGGCTTTTTGCGGATTTATGAATCGACACTATACACGTACGTATGTACTGAGGTCTTGAGTCGTGGAGCTTTGGTAGCGTGGGTGCCATCCTCCAGAGTTACCACCGGCTACGTACTGTCGCTATATAGCAAGCTACCATGGACTATTCAGGCCAGAGCCTCTGATGACGTGATCTTTTTTTTTTTTTAGAACAGACGAAAATCAATGCGCGCGCGGATGTCATCCATAAAATTAAGTCGGTGTAGCCTAAGCCTTCACTAATGGATTCTTCTGTAGGTCCATAATTTAATCAAGCTTAGTTAGAACGTTAATGGAGGTTAATGTGTTCAGCTGGTGTCTAGGAGAATAATCCAATTTTCGGTGGGAAAAAAACAACTGCATACCTGTATATTGGATAACACAACAATCTAAGTGCACACTTGATTGTGACTTAAGTGAGTCTAAGTGTGGAGTGAGTGCTCACTTAGTCCATGGGTCTACACACACAAATATGCAAACTCACTGCATAACATTAACATAACAAATGCATCCTTTAAATTAAAACTGTAGTTATGGTACCTTCATTGTTGCATGTCACTATGATCATTTCTACAGTGCCCAATGCTAAAAATCCACAGAAACCATGTTCCGGAACAGCTTGTCGTAGAAGCATTATCAAACTTATCCCTTTATAAACTGAGATGCTTGAAGTTAACAGCTTGCAAATTTTATCATAAAACAGGTATGATATACTACATGTAGTAGTAAGATAGGAGCCACTGTTGTTGCCTCCCCAATATTGATCAGAAACCAGCCATCATTTGACCCACATGTCTCTGTGCACCAGCTGGTATCCCAGCAACTGTACCAGATTTTACCGGTCACGAAATGAGAAAATCTTAGTTGATGACACTCACTGATTGGCTAGAAAACTACATTTGCAAAAGCTCTAGGCAGAAATCCATTTCTTTGTAAGACACCAAATGATTATGTAATTCTTACAATATGCAAGAAATACTCAATCAAGGACTGATTCTTCATTTAATAGTTGTCAATTTCGTATGGAAATGAAAGCAAAAGGGATGCTGATGACAGATTCTTCTGTTACTGGGATCATCGAGGTAGAAGCTGGGATGATACCCAAGACTGCAAACCTCTCCTAGTCTTAGCAACAATGTAGGTTTGAAAGCTGTGATGTCAGCAAGTAAATTAGATTTAAAAGACCATAGCTTTTCTGATGTTGAACTAACCAATAATTGTCTTTGGTCCCACCTGTTCCAGATCTGTAACACTTCTGACAGTAGGACTAGATAATGCTGGCAAGACGTCCACCATCAAAGTAGTTAGTGGAGGTAAGTGTGTTATTACATTGTAGTAGTCTCCAGCTTGCACTTTTGTTGCAAATTCCACATCTAGAACTTAACATATATTTTGAAATAAGAAGGATTTCAAGCAGGCAAAACAACTCAATATTATTACATGACAAAAAGTCACAAATAGGCCAATGGTGTCAGTACATGTCTGTTGTCCACTCAGTAAATTTCATGTTTTGCTTTTACAGAAAACCCGGAGGGGGTTGCAGCAACTGTTGGATTTTCCTCCCAGGAGTTTAAAATAGGACGTTATGACATCACCACCCTGGATTTGGGGGGTGGGAAGAACATCCGTGGGATCTGGCCGCGTTACTACGCCGAGGCGCACGGATCAGTGTTCGTGGTGGACGCCAGCGACAGAGACCGGTTTGACGAGGCCCGGACGATGTTGGAGGATTTCCTGGGGGACCCGCGAATTTCAGGAAAACCAGTGCTGGTGTAAGTTGTTGTACTCATGTGTACATTTATGCGGTACTTAATGGTTTAGAATTAGAGGTTATAAGCAGCATTTGTTAATAAAGAAGAATTTCTTTGGTATTCATTTCTTGAATTTTCAAAACAGGTACGTAGTTGGCTCCATTCAACTCTGCCAAGTTGTTTTTCAAGGGGGCCAGTCTACAGCATAAAATCAACAACATTCTTAATCTTTGATTGCCATTTTATTTTGGTTTTCTTTATTTTTTTCTTGATGCTTGTTTGTATTTCTACATTACATATACTAGAAAAACAACGTACATTCTAGAACACATATTGCAGATGACTACCATTTTAATACTTACACACAAGAAGCCGGATATGTTGTGTAACTTGGTTTGTTCCTCCCCTCCCTGCAGCCTGGCTAACAAACAGGACGTAGAGGGAGCAGCAGATGAGAATGATGTGTGCAGTGTTCTGTACCTGGAACAGATGGTCAACAAGTACAGATGTCCATGTAAAATTGTAAGTACCCTATCATCATCACAAGTGTCATTTATATTAAATTGTATGTTAAATACTAGATCACACTTCCAATGTTATGCTGATTTATATTCTCTAAGCAGATCTTTTGTTAGCCTAGACAGTATCCTATAGCCAAGGCAGTATCCAACAGGCTACTTGACAACCCAACATTCTGCTTCAAGATTACTTTTTTAAAGCTTCTGAGGGAGTGACTCACTTCAGTTGAACATGTGTTAGATATGCACAAAGGACTGCCCAAATACTGTAGGGACAAGTCTTGTAATGTCTACTTGATTTGGCCAGCTCAAAGATTAAGCACTAATCTACACCAGGAAAGATGTGGAAGAAAGTTGAGAATATTTCTTCTGATATTTTCAGGAGCTGAGCTCCACAGCAGCAGGGTTTGGTAAGAAGGTGGACCCAAACATCAGCACAGGTTTCCGCTGGCTGCTGGACCAGATCGGGAAAGACTTCTCACACCTCAGTGTCAGGATAGAGAAGGACCTGGAGGAACAGAAGGAGAAAGACGAAAAGGAGAAGAAAGAAAGAAGAGAAAGAGTGGCAAGAGCCAGAGAAGAGAGGTAGGAAATTTCACTAGATTTGTGGTAAAAGATTTTTGGTAAACCAGTCAACTGTTATTACTATTACTTGTTATCTGACATGAATATGTACATGAACATTTGTGATAAAATCTCAACAACTTTGTTAAATTTTGTCTTTTCATCCTAGGAGAAGAAAAGAAGAGGAAGAGGCCAGGAGAGAAGGCAGAACTATTGAGAAGAGCGATGATGAAGAAGAAGCAGATTTTGAAGGAAACCCTTTCAAACCCATGGACAGAGTAAGGGTGAGTATATGGAGCCTGTTTACCTTGTCATGGTACAAGTCACTCCAAATATTGAAACTCAGAATCCCTCACAACTGTTGTTAGACTAACATTTTAACAGTTTATAGGATGTTAGAAAAAAAAATATGTACATGATCGTTCCATGTAATATAAACATTTTGTGTTTTTATTTACAGGCGGATCTTGCAAAGAGGGACCAAGAAAAGAAGGAGAGAAAGTTAAGAGAAGCAGCAGAAATGGAGGAAAACGAAGAGAAGAAGAAAAAGAAGAAGAAGAAAAAGAAGGCGAAAGGTGAGGTCTCTTTTTATGTGACATACAACTTAAGCATTGTTTCTCGGACATTTGAGAGAAAATTCTTCAGCAAACAATCAAGCTTTGTAAAGGCTTTTTAGCGATTGTACTTGTATAAAATCTTGTGTTAATCACTCAGTCAATTAGTAGCTTAGTTTGTCTACACACGTCTTACGTGTTCAACCTTCTTCCTTTAAGACCCAGATAACGAGCAGCTGGAGAGATTAGAGGGTAAGGAGAGGTCAGAGGAAGACACGACGACGTCAACAAGCAACAACCACTCCTCGTCTCACTCCGACGCCTCGCCGCAGCAGTCCTCACGGAAAGACGACGAAGACGAAGGCATCGAGATCACGCCCTCGAACTCTGACCTCATGCAGCAGAAAACGGAGGAGAGTAGAGGTACGAAGCCGCTCCAGCATTTACTGATAGAGGAGAACAGAATTCAACTTGTTTTTTAGAGACATGAAAATGAAGCTGGACACCAAACAGTTACCATCAATCTGTTGAAACTGTTAATAGAAGACTGACTCATTGAATAGAAGAGGAGCTCAAAAATTTACTTCATAACCAACTTCATCATATCAGGGTGTTGTTTTTTCCAAGGTCAAACCACATTACCAATCTGGAGGATTGATTTTATGAATTTATAAATGTTATGGTAAAGATGTATTACTTTATTCCTATCAGCTGTTCTAACAGTCTAAATGTACCTCTCCCAACCCTACAGAAGAGAGAAAGGAGAAGAAAAAGAAGAAGAAGAGGAAGATGAAGAAGAACAACCGGGTTGCCCCCGGTGATCAGGAGGAGCTGGAGCAGAACGACACGCCCTTCCCATCACCCCGCGGGGCGCGCGCCATCCTGCCACCCATCGGGCCCCCGGGAGAGAGGATGCTGGGAAGCCGGGCAAGCAGAAAGCCAGCACTGGAGCCGCTGACGGAACCCAGTAATGAAGGTGAGAACGAGGTGGCAATTGTTGTCATTATCGTTGTTATTACAAAGCAATTAACTCTACCTTGTCCATCCAATGAACAGGTTAGGTCAATTGGCTGTTCACAAAAAAAAACACAATGTACAAGAAGAAACAAAAATACTCCATGCTGCACTGTTATGGAAAATATGGCAACAAAATGTAAACAGTAAAACCTACAAGCTGAAATATTAAAAAATCAGTTCCAGTTTTGTAATTGAATTTAGTCTCAACCTATAGGCTGTAATACAAATGATTACATTGTAGTACCTGTTTTGTTTCTCGGAAATTGACTACCGATAAGTGAGTAAGTAAGTCCTGTCATGATTTTCTTCCAGGAGTGGCAAAGTGGTCTCTAGCAGAGGATTTAGAAGAGCCCATGTCAGTCAGACCCTTCAGACCAAACTCAGACGACGCTGACATCATCACATGAGGACTGTGGGAGGGACAGATGATTGACACTTCAAGGGGATGATTGACAGGTGCAGGAAATGATTGACAGCTGCAACAAGCGATTGACGGGTTTCTCCATGGACTACAGTATGGTGTAGTTAGGAATGGGAAGGGGATGAAGCAATATTTTCAAACTTCAGAATAATCGTCAAGAAACAGCAAAGATTGACAGATGTGCAGTAGCAGTGGATGAAGTGTAAGATAGGGGGCACTACATGTGCTGAGCTTCTAAATGTGTGAATATTGTTGGGAGAATCATTATCTATGTACAATATGGAGAAGCCCCCAATGTTTAATCTCCACGCAGATGTTTTGGTAGCCAATGCAGCCTGTATCCAATAGGCAAGATAATGGCTAATAGGCTTAATTAGGCTGGCTGTCAGAAAACGGTAACAATCTTCCCTAAAACCTTTGCTTGTGCTTGGAGAGTACCCAATGTGCCCTTGTGCTTCCACTAGATGCCTAATAGTTATGCCTGTCTACTGTTCAAGAGCATGAGAATTTTGAAAACTGAAAATGGTCAGAAGAACATACAGGCGAAATATTGATATGTTTTAGGCTATTTTTTATTACTCTTTTATATAAAAAATGATACTGCCTTTAGCATGTTTTTTGCCATTCAGCATTGTGAATGCAGCTGTCTCAATCCCAACTAAAGCATAAAACTTTAATTATAATATTACTTTGTGTAAATATGTTTGAATCACATCTGTAAGACCTTTTCACATCGTCATTTTTATTTCAACAGAAACTTTTAGATGTCTAATCTCAGCTATAATGTATACAGCTGTAAAAGTAGAGTCAGTTGTATGAGTGTCTATACAACTGTAGGTATGGGTAGTATTTGTTGTACGCTGTCTGCAGAGCATTTCAGTTTTGTGACTGCCATAGGAGAATCTGTGGAAAATTAGACACAGTGCAATGATCATGTTGTATGGAGTGCCAGTTGCAATGGAAAATACTTTTGCAAATGTGCCATATGCACCATTGCTTCAGCTACTTTCTGGAATGACTCACTATCATGTAAAAATGTTATTTTAGACACTCAGAATTGTATAGATGCCTAACAGTAGGCAAAGCCAAACTAACATCATGTCAGTCAATGTGTAAAACTTGAGGCTAGACAGTAGTGTTAGCAGTCTTCACATTGAGTGTGACATTTCTCAAATGTACATTTCCCTCATACGGTAGGACATCTTGTCAATGTTTTCAGCTTCTCAGCAACCAATGTAATCTGCAAAGCATGCTGGGATGCTTGCTGTGACTGTCAGAAGCAGATCTATCCCATCATGCTCTATTATGGGTAACCCTTACAAATGTGTAATACATGTACAAATGTGTTTCTTTACATGTTGTGTTGTCATTTTACACATGTTGCCTGTGGGACCATCAGTGTTTTAGTTGCAATAAAACTGTTTGTAGTAGATAAAAGATACAGATATGAGCAGCAATATGTGTTAGAACTAATTTAACGAAGGTTTTCCTACCAGAAAAGTTGTTAAAAAGCATGTAAAATCAATGTGATACTGTAGATACTTGTATAAAGACATCACAATTGTACATGTTGTTAGGCAGGTACACAGTATAATGTTGCTACTTTTAGGAGGGCCAAAAGTTGTACTGACTTCTCAATGTTGTATCAGTACTGTTGTGACTCACATGTGGACTTTATTAGGTTTATCAGATTTTTTTAAATGGAAAAATGTATATTGATTTAAGTTTTAAGCTTTTATGTTGGCAGTCATAGTATTCACAGTAACTATCTAAAAATCATGAAATTTGTTGTTATGTTACCTACAGGTATGTCTTGTAATGTGTAAGATATTGTAAAGTGCACTCAAAAGTAAAGATTTTATTATTTGTATGAAATCATGGTGTTTTTCCTTTACTTTTAGTCCAAGATAAGTTAAAATCCTTTTCCACTTTTTACCTTCGCCAAGAAGGTTATGTTTCCCATAGCGTTTGTGTGTATGTATGTGTGTGTGTGTGTGTGTTGTGTTTGTATTATACGTGTATGTGTGTGTGTATATGTGCGTGTGTGTATGTGATTTAGCACCGACAATAACTCAAGAAGCTTTGGATGTATTGTCATGAAACTTGGTAGGTGGGTAGGACTTAAGACCTAGAAATAATTAGATTTTGGGCCCCCTTGTGGCTTTCCTAGGTACTGCAGCAGAACTTTCGGTTTTGATATCTTATGGTCTAGACATGGTAGGATCACGAATTGCTCTTGAGCTAGGGAAGAGGTGGCATTGGTATGGCCCCCTAACAGCTTGTTCTGAAACTGCAGGGCAGTTTGTTTAAAGATCCTTGCAGGAGGATAAATCAAGAACCGTCTGACGGATTGTCATGTTTTTTAGTACGTACTAAAAATCATTTAGTGATTGTCTAATTGTGTCATGCATCAGCTTACGTGATGCTTGACATAATTAGATCATAATTATGCAAATCAGGATCTGGTATGCTCAATAAATGATGAGTTTCTATAAATCTGCTGTACTCCATAATACACTTATGACTACTAGTATGTAATTGGGAATGAGAGGAACATCTGAAATGTAGATTGTGTAAATGAAGACCTAATTTGCATAATTAATTGGAAATTGCTATAATTACACAGTGGTAACTGCCAGGCAGTTCATACTTGACGCATTTGGAACTTAAGTGAATGTAAACAATACACAAAATTTATTCAAATCAGGGCCTCATTTGCATGATTTATGAGGAAGTGCAACGTAGGTAGCCATGAACACGGTAAATCTGTTGGAGACTGGATTCCCCGTGCTGAAACTCTGAGTGAGTCTGACGCTGTTTTGACCACTTTAATAATCAGCACTGGAACATCATTGCGGAATGCGTTACTTTTATATATTTGCCGTAAATTTGTTATAAATTTCCATGTGGAACAGGACGCTGGCAACGTGTGAGCTACGTGTGAGCAATACTCACCTTGTCCTGCCACACAGTCGCGGCAGTGTTAACGTTGTTGTTGTTGTTGTGCAGTGCGCACTGAGGATGGTTCCGTCGGCATGCCCTGACTTGTGATTATCCAGACGTTCACCCTGGGGCTCAAACTTTGTGACCTTTTAACTTTTCCTACTACGAGTCACGACGTACTTGTCACCACTCAACTGCCCCCCGACACTCTCTACACACCCTGATACAACGTAGTTGCACGCTTCCAGACTCTTAAAGGCTTTGAACCGTTCCTGTATGTAAAATCTCGGGGGTAAAAAATCTAGTGTCCAGTATCAAAGTTGTTTACCAAATACGAAGTTACGTCAGACTCCACTGGCGGTAGACGGTCTCGATCAAACTGATCAAAACTCAGCAGAAATGGGTCAATCCCAACAGATTCTATCTTATTCCGGTAACGCTATAGTACGAGAGTTGGTAAACACCTCGTGTAATCGGACAATTTACCTGACTTTTCGACGCTTGGAAACTCGCTGTGAAGAGGGACCCAAAAATGGCGTCGCACGGGACGAGGGATGACGTCATGATGACGTGTGTTATATAAGCCCTGTTGATAGGCTGTCATTGGGTGGACAACTAGTAATGCAATCCATGATGCAAATGAAATGAGGATCTTATTTTCATAATCAATGAGAAGAAAGTATAAATCACTATAATTTCGTCAGGCAGAATGGTTCATCATTTGGCGAAGGTATGAGATGGTGGATACTGGTAAATACTAGTAACATGACTGATTTTATTAAATCAAGATTCAAGAGGATAACCAACTCTCAGTTGACAACAAGATATATTTACACATTTGTTAGAGACAAAATGACAAACCTTTTTGCTCACATAAAAGAGGGTCTACTACACATAACTACCAGAGAATTATTTCTTTGGGTAATCACACACCATTGACAGGAATTCTACTTCTAGACATAAACTACATTTTGGACAGAATACTTGTAGCAAGGGAAAATAATATGCAAAACAGAAAAGGAAGCACAAAATAAGGGCCTTTACTTCTAACTTTTCTCTCAAGTGTTTTATATAAAAGCTCTATAAACTACAACAGCCAAAAATATACAGGTATTTTTATACAACATAGAAAACATGATTCCTTACACTAAAGTTATACTAAAATGGTTTATTGAATGTAAAATAAACGTGAAACTCACAATTGTAGAATATCAAATATGGCAATGATTTTCTCTTTGAAAAAACGTAGGATGGTTAACAAATATATCGATCAGTCTAAATTGATAAGTCCTACTTCAAAATTCTATACTTTCTGCAATACTAAGAGTAAAAAGAACTTTTCCAGTTCTAGCCTTCTGGCCCTATATATGATCTATCTTAGTGTTTGTGATAATGTGATGTTGCAAATATTTCTTCACTTCCAGCAACAGTTTGGACATAACTGTGGTTGCTGTGTTCAAATACTTGTTACTTCTGACAGGCAAAAGAATGTGGTAGAAAGAATAGCATGTGTAATGTACAATGTATGGGTGTCTGTTAATGTATGAATATGAATGAATGCCTGTTAATGACATAATAACTTTTACAGTCACAAAATAAAATAAGAGGTTATCTATCCCAAAGTTGTGCACTACTGGTGTGCAGCGGTGTCAGACAGGAGTTTGGATGTGGGGATTTCTGTCTGCTGTGTCTCCTGTAGGGTAGCCATGGCCTGGGACTGGAGGCTGGAGAAGTGGTCCTGTAGATGGGGAAAATACGTGAATGTAAGAAGAAGCAAAACAATTCCTGTATCTACTCATTCAAGCAGTTAACTATACTTACAACAGTTAGGTTTGCAATATGAAAAAAAAACTGTATAGCTCAGGGACTTCTTTTAAAATATCTTTCAATCTCTTTAAAAGTCAGGAATAAGAAGAAGTAAGCATTTTCTTAGCAGCCTTTGTAACTCCTTTTTTGCCTAATGAGTCAGTGAGTCAAACTTGCCTTAAGCTCAATGTCTCTGAGTTAGTAAGGGAGAAGAAATACTGCTTCAATGAGCATTTGTTTAGTGCCCATAAGTGGTCCATGTGACTTTGCGCTGAGCAACCTTTTTGAAAAACAAACAAAAAAACAACTCAATTTTACATTTGGCACTGAATACGAAAAATACCCATTGTCTCATATCTGCACTACACAGGTGTATGTAAACCGTTCCTCTCAACTGTAAAAACAGGTGTAAACCCTACCTCTCACCTGTATCTTATCCTGATGGGCAGACGAGCTCCACACACTGCAGTACCATATCTGCACTACACAGGTGTAAACCTTTCTTACCTGTATAACACAGGTGTAAAACCTTCCCCTCACCTGTACATCTGTACAACACAGTGTATACTGTTCCTCTCACCTGTATCTTGTCCTGATGAGCGCAGACCAGCTCCACACACTGTATCATGAAGTCCACGTACTCCGTCTCCTCCCTCTCCCAGTCCTGTACCCTCCCCACGGCAGCCTGGTGCAGGTCCTGCAGCTCCTGCAGAGCCTCGTCTTTCTTAGCCTCCAGCTGCTGGTGGGTCAGCCGCATCTCCTGCAGCTGGTTCTGTACGTCCTGGACCTCGTCTGCGTGCTTCTTGTACTCTCTAGACATCATCTGGGGGTGGAAGGGGGAAATAGTCCTTATAAATAAGAACAAGAGTTCCTCAGAGCATTAAGGAACAAAAACAGGCACATGTAAGAAGTTTTAAGTTTCAAAAGTCTTTTGAAACATGGGTCCAAATCTTTTCCGTACTAAATCAACTGTCTTGGGAGAACATAAAAGTTCTTCTATCTTGAAAATTCATACATGGATTGCTCATTCCTTGACAAAGACTGGAGTAGCACAGTCGAAACTTCGGGTAAGTCCAATCTCTTGTGTTGAAAATCAGTCAAAACTGCTTCATAATAAAAGATCTTTGATATCCTCTAGAGCTATCTGATCAACAGAACAAATGAAGCCTAACCTCCATGGTGGAGGTAATATAGACATGATACAAATGAATGTAATATCACTAGCTGTTTTGTTTCTGACCTCCTTCTTGTGGTCCAGTTCCTCCTCGATCCTGCGCAGTCGTGTCTCCATCAGGCCCAGCTCTTCTCGCTTGTCATTTATCATGTCTGTAATCTAGGCAGGCAGAGAAACAAAAATTTGTCTGAAACTTCAGTATTGTTTTCATTATCAAATGTTCTAACTGCTGGGCAGACCCATTCAATTAGCATAAGTCTGTCACAACCAGGAAGAAAGTAGCTCTGCTAATCTCCAAGCAAATCCTACAGCCATTAGCCACCGAATGTATATCCCTCTGGCCAATGGATACTGGATTGCCACTGTAGGATCTGCTTGGAGATTAGCTCTTTAGTTTGAGATCACTGTTTTTTCTTACACACCTGTTCGAGTGACTCCTCCTCTGTGAGTCTGGCTGCCTCGATGCTGTGGCAGGTGTCGGCAATCTGCTTCCTCATCTGGATCAGAGCAGGCTGGAACACAAACATGAAGAATGTTAACATGGGGAGAGCTGGCAGCATGGCTAGCTTTAGGACAAAATGTTATGCTGTTCACAAATCAACCAGCCAGCAGGCTAATAAACGAATTCACCTTGCAAATGCATAATCCCCAAACCTGTGATGATGATATGATATACAGAAAAAGTCCTCAGGCCAAGAAAAAAATGTTGTGTTTCCTGTTTCAATTTCAGTCATGAAAAAATTAGGGTCGGTAGTTAGGGATTATCTTTTTATGTCCCTTGCAGGGGTCCACACACACAAAAAAAGGGCTGAGATTGGCAGTTTTTTCTAGGGTTCTTCGGGAAACAGGAAACAACATTTTCTTTGTAGCCCTCATGACTTTCAAAGCACAACAAGATGATATTTACCTTGATTGTTCCCACGAAGTCGACCATTGCGACCTGGTTGGCCGTGCTGCCGGCGTTGAACACCAGGCGCATCTCGTAGTCCACGCCGTGGGCGTTCTCTGCCGTCGGGGGGATCAGCTTCAGCTGGCGGGCCAGCAGGTTGTACTCCTGCACTACTGACTGCATCTGGGAGAGGGGGAAAATACAGACCTAAGCTTATTAACTATACAAAACGAGGGTGGCAAGATTAGGGTTGTTGACTCAGTGTTGTGCCATTGGGAAAGGTACTTTACAAATTACACCTATTCCCTCGCTCAACTCAGACTAGTACACTACACAACATGGAAGATGCTTGGTTAGCGTGTTACACTATCTCTTGCTGATTGGGCCTTTACGGGCCTGACCAGTAGAAGGGCTGCTAGAAGTGTGATGTAGCTAGGTACGGAAGGTGCAAAATGAATCCTGGGGCACAAGAATCAAGTGTTGAACACTGGGAAAGGTTTTGAAAGAACATGGCACATTGTATTCTTGCACTACAGAAAGCATCTGGATAAAACTCTTCATTGCTGAGCTTCAGAACAAACAAACAAACAAACCTGTTCCCTCTGTTTGGACTGTTTCATCTCCAGCTCCCAGCACTGCTGCTCCAGCCGCTCGATCTCCTTGTTGAGGTCGTCTAGGGTCATGCTGAGCTGCTGACGCTGGCGGTTCATCAGCTCCACGTCCATCGGGGAGAACTCCTGCGTGTCAAAGATCTGCTGCAGACGCACGTTCTCCTTCTGCTCACTCTCCAGCTCCTGGCCTGGAAACAGATGGAATCCAGTAGATAAAGTTATAGTCCTTTCTGCAGCCATACATGGTGCATATGGCGGCACCCTTCTCTTTTTCTGTAGCCTTTGGGCCACACAACTTGCAATCACTATAGTGCAGCTTAAGTGTTTAACTCCCATACTCTTTTCTATTGTCAGAATGATATCATCTGTGGTGCCCTACAGTCAAATGATAAGACTAAGGGATAGATAAGATGAGGAAAGTCTTGTTCCCAAATGTTGAGTGCTAAGCAAAGAAAGCAGCCCCTGACAGCAAGAGCTAGACAGTGACATACACTTGCCAGGATTGCACCATTCACAACAGTTTACTGTGTTTCCTTACACAAAACTGTACGGATACATACGTTTGAGCTGCAGTTCCTCCTCCAGCCGCAAGGCGTCCTGTGTGAGCCCGCTCTTCTGTGCCTCCAACTTGGCCAGGTGGTCCTGCAGCTGTTTGGCATCTTTCTTCAGCTGGTCACGCAGCTTTGTGGCCACAATCAGCGGGTCCTGAGGGAAGGGGCGATGTGATCTTGTGGTTAGGATTAGAAATCTAAAGGTTCTGGGTTCAAATATCTGACAGGCCCCAGTGTTGTGTTCTTGGGGTAGACACTCAACTCAGGTAAAAATGAGTAACTAGCTTTTGTTTGGGATGTACATGTATAGCACAAGGTCCCACATTTAAGGAGAGGTACACTTCAAGCACATCACACTTATCGAAAAAAGTTGGGGTCCTTACAGTCAGACTTACATAGCTTGTACTTATTTTCAACTGTCACTTCAGTCTTATGATTCAGTGAATATTGTTGAGCTAGTGTCAAACCTCCTGCTTCTCCAGTTGTTCCAGTTCCTCCTGCAGCTTCATGTTCTCAGTAGCCAGTGTCTGCAGGTCCTCAGCCTTTATACCACTGGCTCCTGTAGGAACAGTCATGGCTACAATCAACCAATCTACCAACTTAGGAGCAGTTTTGCCATTTGAAAGTTGAAGATACATTTTTAGTTACCGGTACTGAACATTAGATCAACAAAGTAGAGCTTGAAACAAGAATGTCATGTCCTGTTTCCATTTGGGAAGTGAATTTTCCACTTTGAAAGAGAACAGGCAGTGTTTAAACTTTGCGATGCCTCTAAGTCTTTAGACGAAGACTGTTAATGATGTTTAAACTGTAATCTGCTGCTGGAGTATGTTTCTAGACACTTACTGAGTTCCTCCTCCATCCTTGTGTCGTACTGAGTCATCATGTCATCATTGCCCTCCAGGAAACACTTGTACGCTGCACTGCTGTACTCAAACAGGATCTGGGGAAATATTAGTTATAATGTTAACCATTATACCATACAATTCCTCTGCAATTTTCCTACTTTTAGTGCAAATACAGTGGCAGCCAGTTAATTGCAAAACGCTTATAAGAAAAAGTCTGCTAATTGAAAAGAATTGTGAAAACCCAAACCGTTTCCCATTGACACCATTGTTTATCACGCCCCTTATTTGAAAAGCCAATGCCGGCTAATTGAAAAAAAAATTGTCAAGTTGCAACACATTTTCAACCAAAAACATGCCAAACAAATCACCAAAATCGGCGGAAAATTTCTTATATCAAGACATCAAGCCGCCAAAAGGAACGAAGTTGTCTGTTTTGAACCACAAAGGAGGCCGAAATTTACGTTGATCGAGCGGTCGGGCGCACATCGGCACTACGTAATGAGAAGCGCGAGCCGGTTCATAGCCGCCAAATGCGGCATGCTTTTGTGTTCTTTTAGCCTGTTTATTCCAAGAACGTTTAATTTCTCATACAACTCATTTTTTAATCATCAAAACCATGTCTCTACTTGTGTACTGCGCCATTATTTTGAGTTTATTTCGACTGCGACACGGCGCTATCGCCGCATCAACACGCCAAATGTGCCGCGAAAAAAAACCGCATGGAATGATGGGATACTGCTACCCACGCCGCGTCCGCCATCTTTGTTTACTTCCCTGAACGCTAATGCGAGAGATCCCCGTCAACTATCGCAAATTTCCATGTAACCTACGGACATCGTGAGCTAAAAAGTCATTAACATTGAAATGAACAGTTTATTGTTGCATTAGTTACGATAATTTTCGTGTGCTAGCCGGAGTTTCTGAAAATTAAGCGATCGAAGCGATCCTTTGTGCTATCGACTGCTTTCATGACGATCGTCTGCATTTTTGTCTGTACGCTACTTGATTGAAGTTTTCCGTTAATCAAACTTTATTTTTTGCTACTTTCGTGATGTAAAAGTACGTACAGGCTGATGATTGTGCATGTATTCGTTGCTTGTTTTGTACGTAGCAAACGTAGCATTGTTTATTCGTTCGAGTAGAGCCTGCCGATAGCACATGATGTCTAACGTATCGCGGCGTTCTTCCAGTCTTGGAAAAAACGAAAAAAAATACATGTGTACGTCAACGAAAAAAAATTAAAAGCAAATTTACCGATCTCAATAAAGTTCACTGTTTTTAATGCGTAAATGTGACTCGTGTTTGTATTCTTTGTGTCGTTATTTGTGTTCGATGCCCTGTCCACCCCCCACCCCCATAGTTTCAATGAAGGCCGAGAGTTTGAGCCTCAGAGTCTCTTAATCGGAAAGGCCGGGTATTTGAAAAAAATGTGCTGACAAATTGGCTTTTCAAATAAGCGGCTTCTACTGTATAATGCTTTGGTATGCTGATGAAGGTTAGACATCTAGATTAGACTCATAGGCAATTCAGGCTTTACTACTGGATACAATACCATGCAAACTTTGGAAATGAAAGGTAGCTGGTTTTATTCCCTACAATTCTTAGCAATAAATTGTTCCAGAAGTTTTTTGCTGCATGAGGAAAATGATGCTCCCTGTAGTAGTTACCTTGTTTTCTGAGTTGGATTCAAAGTCCTCATTGAACATCAGCTTGTCTCCATCCACCCTCATGGAGTACTGTAACAAACAGCACAAAAAACAACTGTATTAGTATAAAAAACGTACAATCTTGTTACACAAATGTAGGTCACAAATACTTCAAAATGTATGGACGACAATGTATGTGTGTGTCTGGTGGGCAGTGTAAGTGTGTGTGTATGTGTGTGTGTGAGTGTGCATCTGTGTTTGGTGAGTGTGTGTGTATGGTGTGTGTGTGTGTGTGTGTGTATGGTGTGTGTGAGAGTGTTTGTATGTGTGTGCGCATGTGCATCTATGTATAGCGTGTGTGTGAGTGTGGGGGTCTCCATGTGTGAAAGGGGGAAGTATAGGTGAGGGTTCCTTACCTTGACCAGCTGCAGTAACCAGTGCAGAGCCCCCAGGATGTGAGGCCATGTATGGGGGGTTCCAATGGTGAACATTTGACTCTTACTGAGCGGGAAGGGATATCTGAAAATACAACACAGGAACAAGAATCAAAGTATGCCATGGGTAGAACAACCAATAGCTTTAAAAGTTCAACTTTATATTATTACATTTGGTTTACAAATATTATAGCCTTAATTCTATACCAAAATGGTATGATTGGTATCTACTATCCAGACTACTCATCAATTACATGTAGGAAAGGTAATGCCTGTCCCAAAACTTTTAAGGCCAAGCAGTATTTGTGTTAAATCTGCAAGGCTAAAGTTTAGGTAACAATTGTTGCAAACCACACAGATTCATAGAAGAAGAGAAATATTTGATTTCTACACTTCCTCACCTGAGATCCTTGAAGATCCTAGGTATCTCTTCTTCAAACTTCTTGACGATCTGGAAGCAGGGGTCGAGGTGTCCGTACAGGAACTGCACGATGGCTGTGAAGAGTTTTGTGGTGGGAGGAGACATCAGTTTCTGGGAGATCTGGTGGGGGAAACCCTGCATGGACAGAAACTGGGACACAAACAACAAACTTGTTAGCATCATGGTAAGCCTCGTGGTTGAAAAAAAATGTTCAGCTTTGCAAGCTATCAATATACTGTAGTATCATACCAGATGGGAAAGATACTTCTTCCTTTGATGCCCATGATCATGATAATGATCGTTCTGAGGATGCTCATTTTCACCTGAGCAAAGTTAGGAAGTTCTTACCTCAATGATGTCTTTAGTCATCCTGTGCTGCAGACTCCTGTCCGAGAGTTTACGTGGGTCCTTGATCGAGTCTCCGAGACGACTTTTGCCGTATGCACTGGAACGTCTGAAATAAAAATGGACATGTAATATTAACCATCGATCGTAATTCGAATGTACAATGTGAACCAGTCACCCTGATGAAGTTGACAGACGGTCACCGAATCAACGGCTGAATAAAACACTTGGTCATGTGAAAAGAGTCTCAAACTATATTCACTTACCAATCTAATGATACAGTAATGAACATGAACCATGATATTATCATAATTAGCCATCGTACAACAAACAACACACACATACAGATAGCATTTAGATCCAAATGAACGACAATTAGCAGTACACTGTAGGGTGTAGGTATTCCGAGGTGAAATTATTTGAGTACTAAGAGAAAGTCATGAATCTGGACAATCAGACAAACAAACAAACAACAACAGATAAACAGGTATGCCTGTCACCTCTGGCTGGCTGCCATGCCCATGCCCATGCTCTTCCCCCTGATGTTGGAGGCCCGGGGGATGCCGGTGGAGCTGCCGGTGGACAGCCGGCCGAAGCTCTGCCGCCCGAAGTTGGACCAGGGCCGCGGCACGCCGGACTGGCGGTGGGACGCCGAGGAGGACGCCGCCGCGGACGGGCGCCGCACGTTCCCGCCCATGTCGGACTTCACGTGCACCCGCATGGGAGCCAGGGACGAGCGGCCGCTACTGGCGCTGGAACGTCTCATGGTGACACTGGGGAAAGGGACAGAGGACTGTCAACTCCGACTTCAAGACATCAATAATTTTAGGCAATATTTTTGCATAAATTATTTGTCAGATGAAGCTGCAGAGTTTCAACGCTCTCGTTACCATGATATACCATGGCCATGTAGCGATGTTGTTACCCTGTTACAAAGTCTAGATGACTAGATATATAGATCTATATAACATGAGAGCTACCTCTGCTAGCTCATTTGTATGAAATAATTAGTAAGAAACGAAATACCTGTGAAAATACGAGGTTTTTGGCTGAAAAACAACAGGAAATCTCACAAACACTTCCGAATAACAGTCAAATATGGCGCCGGTTCAAATTATACGCCTGCGCACTACCACTATCACGTGATCCTGATTGCCTTACTCTGCAGTTTGATTATGAGCTGCTAGATGTCGCTGCTACACTACGAAACATTATAAAAATGACTGTCAATAATAAAGGTCTAAAATTACGCCTTGTAAGAAACGAAAATACATTTCTCATCTCCTTAATATTGATTTTTCTTCATCTTCTTCGTAGTTGTTGTTCAAAAATACCATATCATGATTTCTCTTTTTATCATTTCAACCGTTATATCATTTCTTTCAATCCATCTTTGAAAAAAGGGAACAATATTGTATGGTCTTTTCGAGATCTTTTTAGGGATTTGGAATCTCGGAGCCAAAGTCAGTGAAAAAGAGTGTATGTAGAAAAAAACGGGGCAGCCAGGCAACGTCACAATCTTCCCTCCCCACATCTGCTTGGACATTATGCAAATGAGTCACCTGATCCGTGTTTGGCCCTGGCTACAAGATGGCGGACAGTTCAAGTTTTGTGTGTGCGTGATGCCGGAGTTTTGGTCGTCCTGGGCTCCGTCTGAGGTCGAAACTGTCGAAATAAAGACATAAAACGATGCACTGCCCTATCTGCGGGTGCCGGGTGGAGTCTGAAGAGCGTCTGCACGAGCATTACCTCAGTAACTGCCCGGGAAATACAGGTAAGGACGCGTTTTTTTGCCAAAGTTGCTTTGTAGAGAAGTTGTTGTCGTAACTGATCGAACCTTTACCAAGTAGGTTTACATTTCAGCCTCTTTCTTTGGTCTTACTATTACAACTATTGACTTAAGAGCTTCAATAGGAAACAGAAAGAAAACTTTTTTAAACATCCATACTTTCGATATAATTTTTCATATCTGATTCAGAATCAGATATGAAAAATTATATTCTGAATCTGAAACTCTTCTTTTCGTCGATTAAGGTATCTCAATCTGATATGACTTTTTGTGATTTTGTTTCACACACAATTTATTTTAAGAACAAGGTTTCAAATACAAATCTTGTCGGCATTCATGGTAAAAATTCTGAGCCCCAAACACTTGCTCCTGCTCACATGTGTGCTGCCATTGTGGCGGCAGGTGATGTCAGGTCATGAATTTTTAATGACCACTTTGTTACAATAACAGATGCTCATTTCCTCTGCGGTTAGCTGGTTTTGTTAACATGTTTTCAGGTGAAGGAGGTCAATTTTACCTGTGCATACCTGTTGTACAGGTAGATATGATACCTGATGTTCTGGATGACTGTACAGGTGACTGAGGTGAGACAAGAAGCAGCACACCTGTCTTAAGATATTGCTACCTGTTACTGAGTAATTCCTCAAGACCACCTGTTGGAATCGGGACAATTTCCTTGTTAGGTTTTAAAGTTCGTGACCGGGATTACTACAGGCAGAGCCTCCTCATCCCGAATATGGTATCAAGGTTTAGATATCTTTCTGACTTTCATGTTTTCAATGAATAGCAAGTAAGCAAAAGTTTGCAATAATTGATTGGTCTTGACTTTTTTTAGATTTCTGTAAGCTACTTCAGAAAGCAGCGTACCTACTTGTTAAGGTAAAGGTAACAAATCTCTCTGATGCATCCTATTTGATCAAGCAAGTTCTTGATGAAACAGGATCCAAATTATCCCTCTCACTGAAGGATTAGACTGCCATTAATTCCTGCACATTCCAAATCCTGTTGTCTCAGTGACTCTCTTTGCAAAGCTAATAATGGGATTTTCTGGTATCAGCTGGGAAAACTTTTCATTATCTACAAGATTATCACTTTCTAGACATGAAATGTTTTCACCTGGATAAGTAAAAACCTGGTTAACAGGTCTTTTAGTATATGTATTGTAAAGTTGTGTACCAGTGAGTACAAATTTTATCTGGGACAGTCCTCCAGTTTGACGGCACAATACTTCCAGAAGAGTAACAACCTAGCAAACATAATATAATATAAGCAAAGATTGGCTCAACTTTTGTCCAAAGATTTTAAGACTCATGAAGATAGATTCTAGTTGCACAAATTGCCATGTTTTTTCCACTTATAGACTGTAGAAAATATGTAAAGTTTCCGTTTAGTCTTTTCATCGTAATACACATACATCCCTACTTTCCCCCCTAAACGTAGGATGTTAAGTTAAAACCGTTAGAAGTTTATCCTCACCAGTCCAAAGTTTACCCCAGTTCTGACAGGTGGGTTTGCTCAGCACTAAGGCGGCCGTGTTCGCCGTATTTACCCAACCTGGCGGCACGCTCCGACGAGGAAACTCGTTATTGAAGTAATTGTTGACTTAATTTGAATCACTTTGGGGGGAGGTGGTGGTTCTCCTGGACTGTTTGTATTGAGATGTTCACGGTTTAGAGAAGACGGCTAGCAGATGTAAAGATCCAACTCAGTTTTACAAATGTTTTTGCAACATCGTTTCTAGTAGTATAGTAGTAGTAACTTAAACCAGGGAAGAATAGAAAATTTTAACTAATACTAGTCGAAAGACGAACTAAGGTTTACAAGCACACATCACATTTAAACACTGATTCGCCCAGATCCTTAAGTAATATGTATCTGCTCGGAGATGTAGCTTCTCAGAGCTTCTCTAGATATTTTTCCATGGAACTTCTAGATTTCCCAGTGCTGTTTGTCCTCAGCTATGTCCCATCAGGAGTTGAGATGAGGACACAGTACAGTTACACATGTGTTGATTGGTTGTTGCTGCCATGTGGCAAAGTGTAAATGCTTCAAGCTGCTGCTGAAGTTTAAGTGCAGTCTCAGCCATGCAGAGTTCAATGACATCGTCTAGATCTTAGACAGATGACAGATAACACTGTGTCTGTTTGTGTATCACATGTGGTCTACAGATGCTACTAATATTTAGTACTATATGATACTCCGTGACCATGAAAATCCTGTTACTTGTTAAAATGTCATATTTGCATTTCGATAACCTTTAAAAAAACTATACTGTCAAGTACCCAGATTACACTCAGAAATGAGAAAGATCTAAACTTTTCTGCAGCTGCAGGTGGTTTAGAGCCTGAACAATTCCCCAGTATCATGGCAAATAGGAACTCGCTGGTAATCATTAACAACTTGGTGTGCAGGTGTTAATCCAAGGTCAAGTTTTTTCTGGCAGCTCCATTCATTAATCTTGTGAGCACAGTACAGTAACCAAGGATGTGCCAAGGCTGGTGCTTTTTGTACAACTGTACAGCAATCTGTGGTATTACATGTGGAACTGTGTTTTAAGTAAGGACTTTTGTAGCTAAAATGATTAAAATCGTAAAGAGAGATGACAGTATTTGAGGACTAGAAGAGTAGAAAATACTCCTAAGGACTGCCAAGTCAGCAAAGTTTCTGCTGCTTCATAATGTAATTTACACTTTGAAGGAACTGCAGTATGAAAGGAGTTGATAGGGGATGCAAATTTAGGTTCTTGTCCTTCATGCAAATTTAGAGCCTCAAGCCAGGTTGAGAATCTTACAACTGAATTCTTCATGATAATTTTAGCTACATGTACATTGATCTGCTCCCACATTTTCCACTGTACAAAAAAGCGAGAAGAAGTTGACCTGTCTGTATTAGCTCAGTGACTAGAACACTATGTATTAGCCTAGTATAGTACCCTTGTATGTTCCTTATGTATGTATGTCTAAATCAAGTAGTGCATATGTTGTCTCCAATTTTCTATATACGTTTGTTATGTGTCTGTCATACTCAGTATCTTGACCTGTACCTAGCCCGTCGTGGCATGAATGTACAATAAAGGTATTTCACACTAAAAAAAAAATTGTTACTAGAGTTAGGTCAGTCACTTGTATTGTAAATCAGATTGGGAATCTTACAACTTCAGGACTTCACGATAATTTCTCTGGACACACTGAGTACTGTTAGGTCAGTCACCTTGTGCTTGCATTGTAAAATGGCACCTGTTCCCCTCAAACCGACCTTTCGTCTTCTTTGTCTGCCCATGAAAAGGCAGGGACAACGTGATGATTAGGAGGTAATGGGTTGTGGTGGTGTCCTTTGTGCAGCGTTCTCACGTAGAGCTGGAGGAATAACACTTGGGGCTTTGTCCCTTTGTCAAGGGAAACACGACGGCCATGATAGTTATTGTAACAGTGACACAGTTATGTCCAGCCAAAACAGGTCGTGTTGTGAAGGCCGGTACAACGACAGGTGCCAGTGTCAGTGCAAGGCCACAGAAACTTCTTTTGCTGGGAACTTATCTATGTCACGTGTTCAATGTTGGCATGTCTCCCTAAAGACAACACAAGAAATCTTGCTCTTGTTGACAGATGTGAACAACGTGCAGAGAGGCTGTTGATATTACCAGCAACAAGTTGTAGACTATTCGAAGACTTTGTGAGCCTTGTTCTTATAATATACCCTAATAAAAATGTATGCCATTAAACTTTTGAGAAAGTTTCTAAGGTAGTTTTCACACAACCCACTGGTTCAACAATCTATATTGCCTACAATTTGTCAAAATATGGCAGTGTATGACTTGAGCTATGTATAGCTGGGTGCGATCCCAGTAGAAATAGTTCATTAGAGGCAAGTATATATAGGAGCTGTGGAACACCAACTGGAGTGGCGTCCATGATCCAGGCTACTGGATGACCAATGCGAGCAATATACTTAACACTAACAGCGACAAAGTTGACAGTGCTCTAAGAGTGCACCAGTCTAGCTTAGATGACCCATACATTGTAGATGTAAATTTAATGAAGAACATTCAGCTCTAGAGGATCATTGATTGATGATGTCCCAACCCTTTCCTTTCCTATCATAAAGTGATGATTGTTTAGCTGTTTACCATCACAGTTAGCCAACAATCAACAGTTTGCCGAAGAGGATCCTACAATAAACAACTGAGGGCTCAGCAGCGTGCTTGCCCAGGATTTCAAAGAATAGTCGTTAGTAAACAAATAGACAGTGATAATAGCAGGTTTAGTGGTGTATTTGCCGTTACCATGGTGATTGTATGTAGGTGGTTATCTGTGGTGGTTGTGGATTGAGTCTGAGTAAATATTAGAGTAGTCGTGATGTTAGTATAAACAGGGATGAACAAGGTGTTCTTACACAATGAGAGACTCCTGGGGGGCCAGTAGGATCATACAGGTGGGAGTTGTGACCACTAGTGGGGCTGCTGTCTGATGCTGCTCATCTTTTGGTTTCTTGGTGTTATCTTTTAGGTGAGGTAGGACTTTCATTAAGTTTTGAACAACTTTCATTTCTGAGTCAATGGTTTCGACAAAGATGTTATTCTTTGCTAGTTTAAGACTTTTGATAATCTGAATTGGAATTTGAATTGCAGATACATGTAAGATGCTACGAGTTTATACACACCATTATAATGAGCTTCTACATATGGGATTAGTTTGATTGTGGCCATTGCACATTCAAAGGTATTTCATGAACTTCAAATACTGTAGTTTCTTGGAGGTATGGTGGGTGTGTTCTTGTAAAGTGCTGAAGGTGTAGCATTCCTCAAACATGGACTGACAGCTTACATTGTCCAATTTGAAAGGCAGTGCACTACCCACTGGTAGTATACAAACCAGGCCTAGGTTTCAGAGCTTGAACAGGTAAGTTGGGATTCGAGCCCACAACCTTGTGATCCCAAAGCTCAGTACTACCAAGGAGAAGGAGACTACCATTTAACAATTCTGCATGAAGCTGAAAAAGGATTTCATGCCTTGCATGCAGTCACCTTTCAACAAGGCAGGTGGCGTATGTCACTCACAACATTTTTTATCCAGGCTAAAATGGAGCAAAGTTTTATAATCTATAATGTCATAAGATGCTATTTTACTCTCGCCTCTCTATTAAACGTACCGGTACGTTTATTTTTTTTCGCCTCAAAATCCACCCGGTACATTCTTATTTTAGACGGTACGTTTATTTCTTTTTTTCAAAATCGGAAAAGTTCCGGGAAAATTTGCGGTCCTGAACGTAAAAAAACACCACTTCTCCCAGCCGACAGCAATTGAAAATGTCCCGGTACGTTCTGTTTTGCACGGTACGTTTACGAAGTTTTCAAAATCACGGCAAGTCTAAGAACATATTACAGTACCTCCCTTTTACATGTAAATTATATTTGGGAACACATATTGTGTTGAAAATATGAACTATAACGGGCGTTATGTAAAGAAAAATTGGCGAAATTTGCAACATTTTTCACGCAACATGCACACACATCTCACTCAAAACTCCTTGCTCAGAACGATCTTTTTCTTGGGACTATGTTAAAATAATACCACAAAACAATGTATTCTAGCAATTACAACATGCGATACTCTCAAAAAGTCGAACATCCTACCACAAATATGACAATTTAGCGCTGGAAAAAGTCCAATTCTCTTGCAGTGAAATACGTATTACATGCAGTTTCTCACGGTCGGCAGAGCTCACTTTTTGTAGGGGGGGGGCAATTATTTATATTCTTTGTTATTATAGATAAAACTCTTTCTCAAATATAGACATAAGCAATTTGCAATTAACAAAGCTAATTATCATGTAAAAGACCAAAAACAGGAGTATAATTGCAGTCTAATGTATGCACTTTCACAGAGAAATATTTTGCCAAAAAGTGTCCTCCTTCAAAAAGATGTCTCAGTTTTTTCTAAGAACTGAGTTCTAAACTTAAAGCCCCGCCTCTGCTCATTTGCATACTCACTGGACACACTTTCAAAAGCGTAGCAGGGTAACATAAAACCCTTGACTCTGGACTGTTGTGAAATGCAATGTGTTACAATGTTGCCATTTGTTTTAACTATGTAGCATTGATCATTTATAATTACTTTGGTAAAAAGAGAAATATGCAATGCATAAATGGAAATTTGGGAAAGATAAAAAAGAAATAATTATGTTTAAGTCACTTTAACATTAAATACTTGTAGATGATTATAAATTCTTTTGCATGGCTTTTACAAACTAGTATCACAATTTGTATAGCGCAATTATGTTAAGCATATGTTCAACTTAATGAGCTCTAAATGAAATCTTGCTGATAGTTACCAAGCTGTAAAAAATCTACTCTTATTTCAAAACTTCATATTACTGTCCCTGCTGATGTAAGATACAGTATGCAATGCAATGATCAACAACAAATTGTATGAATGCAGAGAAGTCATATAAAATTGATGTATGACAGTGTAATATATATTACACAGCAAGTGATGCATATACTCCTCAAAAGCCTGTAAGAATACAGGCTGTTGAATTTGATAATTTTCCAGGGGGCACATTTATTTTGGGGGTATATTTATTAGGTTTTGAATATTTGTTGGGGGAATCATATTCAAGGGGGTATGTTTATTCAGGACCTGTCAATAGTTGAAAGTGACAAGGTCATATAGACGCACACATATATACACCATGAGAACACATTTTTGGAGCATAGACGTTGCTTAGATGTCAATTTTTAAAATTTTCCGGGGGGTACTTTTATTCCAGGGGGTACTTTTATTACATTTTGAAGATTTGTCCGGGGGGTACTTTTATTCCAGGGGGTACTTTTATTCGAGAGGTGAGAGTAGGTATTTTTTCCTACATAGTCTTTTTCCGAAATTTTAAATTTGTTTTAAACCATAAAAATAACCGTTATTTGATAGCTGTGGTGACCTAGATTTTGTATAAACAAAGGTTAACGATTTAGCCCCATAAAAGTAGTTGTTGCTTAATTACAGCAGGATTCTGGAATTTGGACAAACACTGTTTACCTCAAATTACCTGGTCATTACCTGAGTTCCCATGGTAACAGGTTACACCTGGATATTACCTGTTGTACATGTAGTGTTGTAATAACATGGTACCCAGGTACAGGTGAGGGTTTGGACTATTATGGCACTTAAAGTACTCATTAAAGATGTAAAGCTTGTCTTAGGTCAGAACAGGTCATGGTGGTTTGTTATGGTACATAAAAATGTTTTGGTTGCAATACATTTATGGAGTGAAGACAGTCACATTCAAGTTTTCTTTCCTGCCCTCTGCTTTTATGATGTCCATTTGTTATATTTTCACCTTAAATGTTTTGTCCAAGAACCTAGGAAATTGTTGTGAACTTGTGGCCCAAGCAATGATGGATCCTTCAGTCACTCACCAGGGATAGGAAGAATGCTTAATTTTGAATGTTTGTAAGCTCAATGTTGAAGATAGAACTTACCAATAAAACAGCACAGTTATAGAACTAAGAGGGAGGTATGACATTTCAAATTGTGCAAAACTTATCGTCCAACTTGCTAACTGACTAAATCCTAACTTGAATGTGGCCAGTGGTGTAAGTTAATCATATAATGAATGATTAACTGATTATAACTAATTCTGCCCATTCAATGACTCACATTCCTTTCATCCATCTATAGCCTAGTGATCGACATTAAGTTATTCTTTCAGTTGGAGCATTGTAAAGATTTGTGTCTTAGATTTAATATTCCTGTGTGAATTTACAGTCTATCATCTTGAATGGGCTTTCATTTACTTTGAGTGAAGTCTGAAATTACTTCAACCCCCAGAATGACGGCTGTATTATGAGCTTGATTGTTGTTTTGGTTTCCCCTGAATGTAGATGCCAACATTGTAACGTTCAGTTATTCTTTCCGTTGGGGTATTGTAAAGACACGTGTCCGATTTGATACTCCAGTGCAGCTTTTGAATAGTCTTTCATTTACTTTGGGTGAAGTCTGAAATTATTTTAACCCCTTAAATGACGGGTATATTATGAGCTTGATCGTCGTGGTTTCTTGCTGAAAATGGCAGACCGACACTGTAGCTATTACCAGCGATCAAAGTACAATAACGGTTTTTATAGAGCTGTAAATTCGTCTGAAGTCACACGGGGCAATAGCAGGAATTCCAGCTAGATTTGTGTGATAAGGCTGAACACCTGACTTTACCTGTTGAGCACGGCATGCCTGCGTACCTGAGATATACAGGTGAGAAACACTTGATATGACTGTTCTGTTAATGTTTTATTGATGCTCATATGATATAAACACAGTCTCAATATATCTATATTGTCATCAGCTATCAGGTAGTCTATGTAATGCTCTTAGCGTCTAAGGTATAACTATAGCACACTAGTAGTACATGTAGCTTGCAGCGGTTATATAACATTGAGTTACAGCTGTTCTTGTCCCCGTATATTATAAATCTAAGCTTTGTTTGGAGCTGTGAAATCACAGTTCAAACAGACCTATCAGGTGAAGAATATTGGGTTATATTGGTGACTGATATATTTGACCCACATATTTTAGTAGGTACTGAAGGCGTTCTGGAGTTATAGAAACTATTATAGCTATAGGAATAATCATTTATGTGAAAATACAATTAGTTGGTACAACTTAAGTTTCAATGTATGCGGCACATTTTTTTGTGTAGATGCAAGTTTTTATTAACAAAATACAACATAGAATCAATTGAAAATTTTTCATGATTCTGTCTGAGTGCAGTCTTGAATTTGTACATGTGCGTATGCATGCTGTAGTCCTAAATTACAAGAATTTATTGAACTTTTGGGGCAGACACCTTATTCACAACATTGAAGCTGACAGTTGTACCAATGAACGATCCAGCCAACCTCTAAGTGCTCACAAACATAACCCAGCAGCCGGATTAATTTTTGAGGCCGGCAGCCTGACAGTTTACCTAACATATCCCTGAGCACACAGGGGTATAACTCACTGTCACCAGGGTGCCAACAAGGCAGGTGTGGTCAACAGTGTTAACCTGAACCCTCAGATGACAAGTTGTCACACAATAACACCTGTGACACCTGTATCAGGCACCTGTTTCCTCTACCAGACACCTGTACTGGATACCTGTGTAAGCTGAAGTGTACTAGTAGCTATATATATAGGTATACAAGCAGATAAACCGCCATCAGCAGTAGTGTGTAGGGGGAACAGGAACCAGAGATTATTTGCCTTTGGTAAGCCCTGCAGATTTTAATGTTTGTAGGTCAGTTCAGATTTAACAGTAGGGGGAAGAGAGAGGGTTGAATCTCTTTAATTTGCCTGCCCTTGTCCTGTTTTTGCTTTTTTTTTCAGGCTAGAAGAGGATATTAGTTTCTACATTGATCATTGGATGTCCAATATTTCAGACACTTCTGACATCATGTTATTGTCTAATGTTATACTCATACTTATGTTGTTTTCTGTGTGCGTGTATGTGTTGGTGAAGACATGGAGAATTCTGCATATTTACAGTTGATGCTGCCATCATGATCTTCAAAGATAGATTATATATCATTGTTTTTCTAATATCGTACTGATGCTATGTTGTTTTTTGTGTGTTTTTTTCTGTAGGTGATGAGATGGAGAAGGCCGGAGTAGCTGTGAGGTTCTTGTGGAACAGAACTGTCACCACCCTGGCTACGGAGGTGTTCCTGCTGTCTGACTTCAGCAAGGTGAGAACAGGTGTTAGACAGGTGTAGTACAGGTGTGTAACTCACTAACTCACTCTCAGTCCCTCAGTCCGTCCCTCACTCCCTCCCTCACTCACTCCCTCCCTCTCTCACTCACTCACTCACTCACTCACTCACTCGCTCACTCACTCACACACTTACTTTTTGCCACATTTGAAGCTAATCTTTTTCTTGGTGTTTTTTTAAATACTTTTTGATATTTTTTTACCACAACAAATCTAAATCCTCTAATTGCTTTGTCTAGGACAAATGTACAAAAATGTTTTGTCTGGAGCATGTTGTTTTGCTATGTAGTGCAGAGTGTGGAAAATATATACAGCTATAGAGTTACAGGATGTGGATATGTTTGATTGTGCAAGGAGTTCAAAGTGCTCTTTACTGGCCATAGAAACTTGACATAAATTTATAAATTGCATTTTGTGCATTGATTTTGGCCCTGTACCCCTCCCAAACAGATATCTTACCCATTTCTTATCAATAGACCGAAATTGGAGAAGTCACTTGCCTTGAATTTGGGAAGGACTTAGAATAAGATTTACAACCCATTGCAAGATACAGCGCCCTCTAACGAATCCTCTGAAAATTGCAGTCTCCATCCTAATTGCAGATTATACAGTATATAAATTCATGGGACTTTTTTATCGATAGGAAACTATACACGTTTGATAGAGGTTTTCACCATCCAAGTTTGGGTTGTATCACAGACTTTTGAAGTAAATACTGCACATCTATGCACTGCTTTTTTGTTTAATCTTTATCCAGGACCCCATGCCTCTTCAGTGGAACATTCCAGACGACGTGTTTGAGTCAGAGTTGGTGACAGTTCCACTTGGACCGCACCAATGTCAGCTGGTGGTGGGGGAGGACGTTCACCCCGTCAGGAAGTTTGCAGTGGAAGAGGCCACCAGGGAAGTCCCTCTGGAGATCCTGTCAGGTAAGGTCTCTAAGTTTATTTATTGAGGTATATCACATTTATGGAAGGATTGACATAACAGGAGACTATCAAATCTTCAAGATGTCAACCCTGAGACCAGATTGTAAGGTTTGAACCACTCAATGCATTGGGGATTAGGACCCCTGCTCTTTTTGGTAAGGGTGTGGGATTTTTCACGTGCTAGAGGTAGAGCTGTCCTCAAAGTCAGACACACAGCTTAACATCCCACCTGAGAGGACAAGCTAGATACTCACGATCATTTTTACCTGAATGCCATCATATTTGTATGCTGGGGCTCCCATAGTCACTTAGGGAGTGAGTATGGAAGCCCCTGTATCCAAATAGGATGGTGCCCAGGCTACAAGGGCACAACATTAGGTCTGAGATGTCTGAAATCTCTCATTTCTTGCTTTCAATGTCCTAGGGTACTGTGCAGGATTATGATAGATGAAGTTACACAGGGTCTGTACAAGAGTGCTTCCCATGTACTGGAGGTCAAGCTGTTGACCCCTCATGTTGATCTGATATCAGTGTCAGAATCAATAGTTAAGCTGTGTGCAGACTGGGCAGACAGTGGCCATTGATTTTTGGCTGGTTTTTAAGTTGTCGAACGTGACAGTTGTCTTTTGCAAATCCATCTGTAAGAATCAATATATTTATTTTTAGATTGGAGCACAAAATATAAGATTATGGTGTTACAATGCTTAATTTTGTTCCAACACAAGGATAAAATTTTCAATGACCACTGTCGCCTTGATCAGGATAATTAATTACATGTAGGTGACAGTGATCATTGAAAATTTGATCCTTGTGTACAATATTTGTGTTGGACTAAAGTTTAGCATTGTACTATGATAACTACCAACAAAGATGAACTTCCATAATAAAATATGGGATGTTTTGTTCTCAGATTTTTTGTTAAGAAAAGTATATTTGCTCACAGTTGGTCATGGCCTATACTCCCTCTACATTTTACCTTTTCCCTACAGCCTAACCCAACAACTGACTAGGCCAAAGTTACAGCATGTGTGGGTGCCAGGTCTGTTTCCTTATGCCCTCACAGACCACAGCAAAGTCGGTCTGTTTTCATTCAAGCTTAACAGCTATTTGTCTGCCACAGCCACCTGCATTCCTAGATATGGAAGGATTAATGTGGTGAAAGGAGCGACTCTGTAAACTTTGGTTCCCTTCTTTTGAACCTGGACTTGGGATTGAAACAGGGCCAAGTCTGTTCTTAGCTAGATCAAAGTCATGTGCAAGTACATGTGTATAAAAGATTGGGCAACATGTTTGTTTTAACTGTTGGATCCAACAAAAGCTTGTTGGTGGAGAATATCTTGTTACTAACACCACATTTCCAGCACTAAAAGGCTGCTGAACAACTGAGTAGTTTTGACAGACTCCTCGACAAATTTCATAGACAAATCTCATTGTGTGCTTTGCATCGTGCAAAATAGTCCAATGTAGATAATCAAGGGGCGCACAGATCCAATTTTTGTCACTTATAGGTTGCTCGGGTAAGATAACAGGGGCACGCACTTGGAGTTATATTCCACCCCTACCAAGTTAACATGATGGTTCCCCCAAGGATTTTCATGCTATTTTCTACAGTTAGGAAGCTATTCTTATGGCCAAGAATAAATCCTTTCTACAGAAGAACAAGGGTTTGAGATATAGTTCAATACTATAGAGATTTCTTGCTATTAGCCAGATTTTTCTGTGACTAGGAAGCAGGGAATTGTGTTGTTTTGGCCTGTTGTGCACCAGTAAGACTGTTCAGGGTCAGTAGTCACTGCTGTCATGGGAAAACAGTCCAGGCAGGGAGCTAGTTCCGTCCAGAGGTAAGGTGGCCATTATATGTTTTACCTGGTACATGTATGTATTGTGTCACTAAACAAGAAATGTAGTGTCAATGAAGATTAGATGTGTATTACAAAATATATCAAGCAACTTGATAAAGTCTCTGAGGAGTCAGACATTTCAGATAGCTTCTACTGTCTTTCATTAGTGACTGAAAATTTCATCAAGCCATACTCAGTCATTGACAAAAGATATTGACTATCTGAAACATCTGACTCATAATTTATCCAGTAACTGTTGCTTGATTTATTCTCTGACATGCCTAGCTTGACATTGCATTATTGGGAAAAGCACAGCCAAATAGGTACCTAACTTTGGTTGGGAAGGCAGTGGAAGGAGGGGGATGGGCTCCACCTCGTAAACTTTGGTTCCATTCTTTTGAAACTGGACTTGAGCTTGAAACAGAGCAAAGTCTGTTCTTAGCTAGATCAAAGTCAGGTGTACATCAAGAATAGCTTAATATACATCCACGACCTCAAAGCCTTTATACCATTTTACCACCGTGGTACAGTCCTGTGGGGCTTACCTGTGCCCCAGGTTTTTGGTCCAGTGATATTCAGACACATCTGTTCACGGTATGGCAGCACTACATGTTCTGCCCCGAACACCTGGGACATGGTTGACAGGTGAGGCAGCTGTCAAGGTGAACTTTTGAGGGGGATGACAGGTGGACCCTTACCTGCCATGTTGAACAGGTTAGGCAACTGTCAAGGTAAACTTGGGGAGAGTTAATCTGTCCTTTTGGTAAGGGTTTTTTTCTTCATTTATTAGCTTGGGGCAATTTTTGGAATTTTGCAGATAACAGGGCTTACATTGTAGGTGTAACTATTTACTTGAATTCATTATTATATAACCAGGTACACATGTACTACTGTTTCTGTAAATTTTGTGTATTGTGATACATGTGTATGTTTTTAAAAATATTTTTCTTGTCTTCCTTTTGAGCTAAAATGGGTCGACATACAAAGACATACAAAATGCAGGAAAAACCTTATGCAACACTGTCCAAGACTCTACCTGCTTGGAGAGTTCTTTGTCAGAAAAAACAGAAAAATTTTCCCTTATTTCATTTTAAAACTCTGGAATCATGATTTTCTGCTTTTTACTGAATTTGCATTTGTGAAATTTATTCTGGTTCTTATCTAGAGATGATACAGAACAGTTAGGTAATCTAATGTAATTCTTTCCAATGAGGCCATACCAGTGTTTTAATTGGCTCCTTAATATATGGGCTGAAATAATAAATTAAGTCTTTTGGAGATAAAACTGTCATTTATAACCTGTACCTGATGCAGAATAAACTCTGAGTTGCAGATTGTTAATCTTAATGATCGTTTATTTGCTTAACGTCAAGGACCACATTGGTATGTATCTGATGTAAACAGTTTCATCGATTATGATGTCGCCTCGACCTAACTGAAATGTGGAACTCAAATGTAAGACCACACAATTTGACTTTGTTGGCTATCTGACATTCTTATATGAACGTTTCACTAGAGGAAATACGTATAAACAGGGCTGAAAGATGTTGATTAGCTTGAGGAATGAATCCATTCTACTTTATAGAATGTCAATTTCAGTGATTTTGTTTTGGCCACGTACTGTTACAATAGTAAAGTGAATTAAGTCAATTTCAATGATTTGTTTTGGCCACATAATGCTACAGTTACTGTAGTAAAGTAAATTCAGTCCATTTCAGTGATTTTATTTTAGCCACGTACAGTTAAGTGTCCTGAAGACATTGATAAATGCCTTGCTACACCTGTTCCTTCACATGCATTTCAAATTTTGAGATTTGTAAATCTTTGACCAATCAGAAGCCGCCTCTGAGAGAAGGTTGACCAATGAGAGTGAAGAACTGCCTTGCCCTTCTCTGGAAACCTAGCTATCCCAGAAATGGCAAATATTGGACGTTTTACGAATAAATATTTGAGTTACCCGATTGCTTCGGGACAGACCTTGTCGCTAACCTTTGTAGCGTGACATCGTGTGTTACACCTTAGGCAGGTAGGGCAAAAAACGTGTTTGTTTTGAGTTTTCTGTCAGAAGCTTTGGACTCAAGTTGGCCTGTGTATGCTGCCATTGTTGTTCAACACTTCAAGTCCCTTCGGGTCGGCGGGTGACTTGTAATTTTCGACAAAACAGGACTGGGGTTCGTTACCTATGTTTGTTTTACACCGCTACCACATTAGAACGTACCACTGCAATGCCACTATAGGGGTAACCGACAGCTCTAGAGAGAATTCCTTTGTAGCTTTTACAAAAGTAAGAGGCGATAATGACTGTTTGAAATGTTGTCACATCACTTGACACAATGTGAAAGTGGTGGAGGGTGTCGGTTACAGCTGCAGTGACAGTGTCGGTGCATCCCCACTGTACGGAGGGTGAGCGAACATGTGTCAGTCTCGGCATACCTGTCCATTAGCCCAACGGAAACCCACCCACCGTGGCCGGGGAAATGGAGCGTGCGACGGTGTTTGCGCTCGCACAATCCCGAGTGCTCCACCGATAGCGTAACCCCTTTTGTCCGCGGGAAATGGAACATGCTTGTTGGGCTCCAATGTAAAGGCAGAAAGTGTGGAAGAGTTCTATTCCCTACACGGAGTTATGTTTCAAATTGCTGCAGGGGAGTCTCTGCACGCCAAGCAAGCATCTGAGCAATGTTTTTCAGTTGTTCAGTTTGTTGGTGGCAAGTTTTTGGTTGTTTTGCTTGCCGAGCAAACTGACCTAGGACTGACCTTCCTCTGCTTGTTGAAAGGACTGAAAAATCGATAGATTAACTTGATTTTTGTTCCTCTTGTGGCCGTCTTGGGTCAGGTCTCACACTCACACTCACTATTCAGTGTAGTGTCCTACATGTAAGTGTTGACAAGGAAATTCTGCTGATAATAAAGCAGAAGTATACTTAGGACTCTTTTCAGTCCCATAATATTTATGAAAGTCATCATAAAATCCTTTGTAGAATCACAATATTTTGGGCAATTATTGGAAAACTTAGGTAATGATATAACTGTTGTAAAGCATCTCACAATGAGTTTATCTCAAAATACAACTTATATTTAGATCTAGAGTCTGGAAGGATTATCTCATAAATGCATGTTTGTATGAGCTTACTCCAGACAGCAGCTTATTTCGGTATC